AACATGCCAAAGCACGAGGATGGCCAATATCATCACCTAGACCGTCTCAGATCGAGTCCTCCAAATGGAGGCTGAGTTGAATCTCATGACCGATAAGAACACAAGGCGCTACAGTTTTTTCAACGCATGTTTCTTGAAGATCTTTCTTCTTCCACAGGTCTGCAAAGTTGACTCCGCCGAACGAGAATTTTCCAAGCTGGCCATCACTAGCAGACAGCGCATACCGGCAATGGTTACAAATCACGCTCGTCCTGATAGTGAGTTACTCTTTGCGTCGTGACATCACCCTGCATTAATGACATCTTGTTAGCTATGGGGAGAAAGGAAAAGCGATAATCCCTGCGATATTTCCATGTTCGACCATGAACAGATTTCCAACGAGGCCTTCGCTCCCCTTGACTTCAAGGTCTATATCGAATACTACCTCATACCTTGGGTCGCTATTCACTTAAATATCGAAGGACCTTGAATGCAGTCTAGAAGAGGCATATGAAGATGATTGCTAGCGCTGATTCAGGTTTTTTCTTTGCATCCAATGACCGAAGAAGACTCACGCATTGAAAGAATTACATGCCAACACTGTGTAATGGCTGCCGAGAACGGGTTGAGAAGGTCGAGCACTTCCGCAAGGAGATGAATGATGAAATCGAGAGGGAAGGAGGAACAGAGGATGCATGACGATTTAGCTGCAAAGATTGCTGCCAATGTGTAGTATCATGTTTTGCGTTCGGTCATGGGCTCAAATGATCATCTAGCAGTGCGCACGCAAGTGGTATGTCCTTTCTCGATGCTTACACTGACATTGTCTTGTTCACTTTAGCTCATATTCGTGTCATTAACATTAGCCTGTTGCTTCCAAATCGCAACCAACAGCGGGTCCTTCAAAATTTCCTGGATCATATGATGATGCAGCATATGAAGACGACGACGAATCAGAGCTCTCTGAACTGGTGCGCTCTTGAACTTTATTTCACACCAACTTTCCCCTTGAATTCCTTCCTCGCTTAGCCCCCCCTTGGCAGCACTATGCTCGTGTTCCCGCGGTCTGTTAGACCCGCTTTCTATGTGATGGGAAAGCAGTCTGTGAGACCACCCTCTCCAGAGGGTCTCCCACTCTATTCCGCCAGAGGTTTCAGAGTATCCTCCAGGACCTCGCAATGAAGACCTCCATACTGGTTGGAGGGCTGTCTTACATTGCAATGGAGGGTCATGTGTGAAGTTCGGGAGGTTCGGGAGGCCTCTAGCTTTCGTCGAGGGTCTCTGACAGTCTCTGACATTCCTTATGTTATTTGATCCTTTGGTGCCTACTATGTTATTTTTATTCAAGTCATATGTTATTTCAATTATCTCGTACTTTCTTCATGTTTTAATCTACTTGTTGTGATGTTCTGATTAACGGAAACATCAGATCCGGGCAAGCATATTAATGATCTCGGAGGCAACAGCAGGCTTGGAGGAGCCGCTATACTGATATTGACAAAAACGAGTTACAAAGATATCAATGTAGGTGGGGTAGGGTATACACGCGGGTACGAGACAGGGCCAATGAGACTAAACAGACGACGAATGCAGGCACGAGCGACACATGATGCGAAAAGAGCAGATCAACTAAAAACGTCCAAAAACACTTGAGCAGCGAATGTAGGCATGAGCGGCACATGAGGTGAAAAGAGAAAATCAACGACAAACATCACAAAACGCTTGAGGAGCAAGGAGGACATTAAGTAGCGGGAGGAGGCCTTGGGGGATTGGGCAGATCGCGACGGAATGCTCGTGGTATAGCATCATAGTCCAAATGAGCACCTTCATCCCATCTCGAATCCTGAAATCTCCTACCGGGGCCTTGAGGGTATCCTTCCTCGCGGTAACTCCCTCCACCAACTCGACGACTATGATAGGGAGATAGTGATTGCCCACGCTCATCGAGGTCATTGTGCCGGGACCTGTATCCACCTTCATGAGTATAGCCTAAGTCACCCCCAGGACCGTACCGGGTCGGGTAGGCACGTTCGCGCTCACTAGGACCATAGTTACCATGAAAATCGGACACAGGTGAGCTGTCTCGAGTATTCAAGTCACTTTCCATACGAATATCGCCAGATCCATAAGGATCTTGAGGTGGACCATAGCGGGGATTGCGATGGTAGAATGCGTCACGGGGGTGAAGAGTGCCACGGTCGAGGCCACGCGCAGGTTCATGGGAGTACCCTCGGGTGTAAGGATAACGAGGATCAACATCCCAAGGATTGCGAAGGCCATCACGAGGGTCACGTACGGCCTCATGATGGTTGCGTGTAGGGTCGCGAACAGCACTTCGAGCATCTTCATGAGGTTCACGACCATCTCGAGGGTGACGGGGAGGCTCACGACCATCTCGAGGGTCACGGAGAGGCTCATGATCATCTCGAGGGTCACGGACAAGGTCGCGTGGAGGGTCGTGATCATCTCGAGGGTCACGGACAAGGTCGCGTGGAGCGCGTGGAGGGTCATGATCATCTCGAGGGTCACGGACAAGGTCGCGTGGAGGGTCATGGAGAGCGTTGCGCAGTGGGCTGTCACGAGGGGCATCATGGGGGAGGTTATCATGTGGACGCTCGTCCTGAGTCTTGTGAGGAGTGAGGGGACGAGGGTGGTTGGAGTCACGAAGAGGCTGCTGGTCGGGAATATTGGGGGCCGCTGCATTCAATGGGGCGGTTGGGGGTAGTTCTTCCTTATCTCCTACTACTTCATCCTTCGTCTGTGCAGACTTCTCCTCCAAAGGATCAGACTGGATGTTAGCTGAACCAGTGGCTTCGGGGATGACGCCCGTTGTGGTTGCAGAATTAGCCTTCACGCTGTTGTCGACGTCAGACTCAGAGTCCGAGTTCCCGTACACCATACGCAGGCCACGATTCATCACCACCCGAGAGCCCTTGGTGACTGGGCGTGGTTTAACATGTTCTAGAGCATGTAAATTAAATCACTTGAATCAATGAAGTTAAGAATGAAATGTACCCTTTTTAGACTCATCAGAAGGTCCGTCTCGAAGGCGCATTGCTTTACCAGCATTAACTATCAAGCTTTCAGCAAACAGTAAGGCGGATGCACATGGTACTCACTATGTTCTGGTGATGGAGGTCCATCGGTCGACGATCCCACTGTTAATGGGGATAGTGGACCGCCTTTCGCAGGGAAAGTAGTTGAGGTTGGCAAGGGAGGCGGAGGTGCCTTGGATTGCACATTATTCTTACCTCGCCCAACTTTCTTCCCCACTTTTGAAGCGTTAGTCTTTTCAATCGACGGGGCAATCTTCTTTGACGCACGCGATGTATTCGCGGACTTGAGCTTCCTCTTCTTTCCACGTCCTGCTTCTTCATACTCAGAGTCGGGCTCTCCCACAGGATTCTCTTCGGTAGACGTAACTTCGATAACCTCACTCGGAGTTCCAGATGGCATGGGAACGGCTTTGGAAGGACGCGGCAGTGGTAAAGGAAGTCGAACAACCTTGAAAGGGCGTGAGGGTGGAGGTACAACTTCGACTCGCATTTTGTAGTTAGGCTTTCGCACGTTCACTTGAGGTAGGGGCTCGAGCGCAGAAGTTCCAACTGCATCATTGACACTTACACCCTCCAATGATTCATCATCAGAGGGTTCATCTTCGGAGGGTGGTATAGGGTGCTTGGGTGCTTTAACACCCTTCTTGACCTTCGTAGTTGCTGTGCTGGGCTTGAGGCGACGAAGACCATTGTGATCAGTATGGCCGTCAAGGAACAACCGTCGCGCGCCATGATGGGGCCATTCAGAAGGAGGTGCCTCGCCCTCGATTATGGGCTTCTCTGAAGCTATTGCAGCCGCTATATATCGTGTAAGTATGACATTGTTACCCATAATATGATACGTACCTCGATCGTCGTCGGGAAATTTGATGATGCGCATAGTGCCTGCCTTCAACGAATCGACAAGCGCAGCGATCTCCTTATACATCAGCGCCCCAATGCCTTTGTTTAATGCATGTTTACTGTGAGCTTCACCGGGAAATAGGCACTTGTGTGCAGGATATCCTTGGATGCTGAGATTGGCTTCCACGAGTGCGGCTGGCATGAGCTTCCAAGGGAAAATCTTTCCGCCGTGTATTTTGCAGCCAAATTTGGCTGGTGCGATGCAGGATATATCAGTCTAAATGAAGATGAGTGGCAATGGTCGCACATACCAGCTTGCCTGGTGATTTCCTGCTTCACGAATTTCAAGTTATCCTCCCGTCCTCCCTCCACAACATCAGAAGCCTGGTCTATGTCGTGGGTAACGGTCGGTGTCTGTTTTTGATGGCTATCGTCCCCGGTTTCTGGAAAGGCATCATCAACTGCAGATAGCGATGTGGTGTTACTGGTTAGGGCTATGTAAGCATCATGTAGCATGAACATAAATGTACTTACTACACGTGGGCCTTTAAATGACCGATGATCATGTCATCGCTGGCACCATCGCATTTCCCAGAACTACGAGTTACTGAGTACATGTTGACGTTGAAGGTGAAAATGAGCTTACCCCACCAGCACCAGGTGTGTTGTAAGAATGACCAAGCGAACCGTCTTCATTAACCACTTTACCACATAATACAACGGCTGCTTCAAATCCAAATCTAGCGGAGCCGGACTCGAGCTATAACATATGTTAGACAATGTTGTCACTTCGGCAGAGATTACGCACGATGCTCGTCACACTCCGATAGTGTTTTTGGAATGCTTGTCCGCGCTGGGCAATAGTTTGGGGAGACGAGCTCAGGAGAGCTACTTCCTCATGCTTCGATAGGATGTCTTGATAGGTGTCGGGAAAGGTGTCCTTGAATTTCTCGTAGCATTTTCTTCGCAATGTTGCACCTATGAAGAATTAAGCATGCAGCATCATGCCGTAGTTTCATATGAACTTACTAGGTGTCCCACTGCCTTCTGATTTCTCTTTTTCACAGCGGCCGAGCTCCTCCTGCAAGTGGTCCTTGAAGTAATTGGCGTACAGATTCCAGTAATTAGTGCCGTTCACACTGCGTCCTCGAGACTTCAGGTATAAATTGATTAGTTGAGTCATGGGGAGGGCGGTGGACGCTGCAAGCTCAAGAAAGTGACGCTCAATGCCCACAAACCCAGTGTCGAGTGCTGCGTTCATATCTGCTGACCTGCGGCCAGTTACCGCTTGATCCTCCTGGTGCATTCTCGGCTCACTCTCTTCAGGGAACCGAACGCGGTAGGTGGTGGCCGGAGAATAGTGACCTAGGTCCAACTTTGGACTAGGATCTCTTGTCGAGGCAAGGAGTGCATTATCAGTGGAAGCAGAGGCACCAGGAGTCTTACCGCCACCATCCTTGAGTGGTGTTGGCGGGATGATGTTTGTGGCTGGAATAGGATGGGCATGATCTTGAGGCGGTACATATGGTGCAGGATGCAGGGTGAATGGTGAGTTCTGCATCAATCCCGAAGACGGTTGGCCTGCTGGATCCAGCGAACATCCGCGAGACATGAGAGGCTGACCAGATGAACTGGCGGGAAAATGAAAAGGCGTGTGTGAAGGCAGAGGTGCAAGGTGGGTTGTGTTCTGCGCATTGGTAGTTTTACCGTCTTGCACGTTGGTCACAGACGGTGCAGGCCACAGCGACTTGTCGCCCGCTCCAGCCATGCCTAGAGCTTGATCTCCGAGTAATCCGCCGTGAAAGTATCAGGCTGCATCATTCCGAAATCACCAGATGGGTTTTGCTGCATCCAAGGAGACTGCTGGTCCATAGGGCCGTAAAACAAATCCTGCAGTTGTGCAGGACCTTGTAGTGGAGGAAAGGGTGAGTTGTGCCGACTGTAAGCCACGTTCAGCGTAAGCGATGACGTATCGCTTGTTGAAGTTGAAGCACCGTCCTGCACCACGTGGTGGAATGGACCAACGGAAAGCTGAACGTCGTTAGAGGTATTTTGATAGGCCTGGCGTCGGGCAGAGGCGTCCTTGACAATACCGACGTCCCGCACTGTGGCCTTGAGTCTGGTCCTCAGCCGTGAGGGAGTCAACTCGGCAGGCGGTGCTTCATATCGACGACCTCCGCCAAACTGTTCCTCAACATAGTCGAAGGATGCAGGGGATGAGCCCATGTAGCTTGGACCAGGAGATGGCTGTTGGTCGACACCAGAAGGCATTTCTGGCTTTTGTTGCGTCATGTCTGCAGTTAAGATGTCAATGACAGAGCAATATTTGGTACGTGGGCATGCGTACCTATATACAACAGGCGATGGCGAGAATATATCGGAGTGAGAAGTTTGAAACCTGATCTCCAGCGCATCGTAAGTATAGACATCATACTGACACAAGAGGGTGTCGCTTACCAGATCGGGGGTATGTTCAACGAGGGTAACGTCGAGGTGGTCTGTCTGTTGAGCGGATCGCGTAAAATACTAAAATTGAGGGCAGCATGCGCATAGGCATCATTCCAAGTAGTAACACGAAAGAATGTTGCTTACCAGAACAGAGGGACGTTCAACGAGGGTAACGTTGAGGAGATCTGTTTTTTGGGCGAATTGTACAAGATGCTAAATAAAATTGAGGGGAATACTGGAGGCGAAAGAAAACGTACCCCAAGGGCTCATACTTAAGACGCATAACCACAGCGTTGCTTGGTGGAAGGACCATCGGTTCATTAAGACTAAAAAGAGATAGATGAGCATTGATAGAGAGGCTACATATGAGATACGAATTGATTTTACAAAGGCTCTGTGGAGGGTCAGAGAGCTACACTCACAATATCGTGCCTCTTGCGGCGAGGCTCCAAGGAGGGTTCCGTACAAATCACTAATGGTGTTAACGAGACTCAATCAGATTGAAAATAAAACTAGTACTGAGTTTGAAACGTACTAATGGAGTCACAGACTCACAGCCACCCAACGTACTGCCAACTGATGCGGAAACAATGGTAAGATGTAGGTGAGAGTGCGGTGGTTGAACGAAACTTACTTACAAATAGCCGTCATCCCACCAACGCAATCAGACGAGCAAATTTTCCTTTTTGGTCAGACCGCGTGAAAAATTTGGCCAGCGGCGAGCGCCCAGCGCCCTCACTTAATTACTCCCGCAAACAGCCTCATGCATGCTGCATCTGTGATTAATCATCGAAGGCCATGCATGATCTTATCTGCGATAGTTGCGTACCACGACCTCTCGCTTCGTGAGCATCGAGTCTTTGCGGATGCCCTCAAAACAACCTGCTCACATCAAGACCATCACCAAACAAGGTGCCCTCGCAAATCTTGTGGCCTCCCGCAGCCGTGTCATCATCGAGGAAGCACCTGCACCTCATTCCGACCACACCCATGGGTGGCGCTGGTATGCGAATGGTCGATGTGATCGGCTGGGTCTTCCTCGCCTCAAAGTCAACAGCTCTCCTGAGACATCTCCTGGGTCATCTCCTGAGCCACCTTCTGCACAATGTCCAGCTCCTGGGCCATTGTCTTGTGGACGAAATCCTGCATCATCTCTTGCATGGTGCCGGCCTGCTCGTGGGCCGCTATCTGGTGCACGCGCTCCTGTAGTGGCTCACGCAATGTGTCACCGGCAGAAACTCAAGATGTTCGTTGAGGTCCCACTCCCCCCCCCTCCTGGAGGTCGAGTTTCAATCCAGGACGAGACCTGTCACTGGTAGGTAGCGTCCAGGAGCTCATTCCGCAGATAACCTGCATTGGGCAAGGTTCGCAGAGTTCTGATGGGACTGCTCGTGGGGAAGATGAAGCCGAGGCAGAGGTGGATGAGCTTCTGGCGTCCCTTTGAAGTAAAGTGGGGCTGAGAGATGTCACGCTTGGGGTTATGTAGTGCTAGAATCTTCTTTTTGCCATTGCTCACTTGTTTGGATTTTGATACGTACATTGTGAGCGGTGTCGTTTAAGACATGGAGGTATAAAAGAAGATTGAACGTTTGAACCGTGCTAAGATCCTTCATAAACATGAGGCAATTGTGAGCCAATGAGATTGAAGATACCAATAGTGCTGAACTTGAAAGACATATGTAGAGCATTGACCACTTATCACGCTGTCTGGACTAGCCTCGTCGACGCTAGCAACACGCCCCATCATGCTCATACAAAGATTTTGACAAGAACTTCATTGTGGATGGCCATATCACATTTCAACAGGTAACTAGGTGGTACAGCAGCGAGATGTTCATATCAACTTTGGTTGACTTTGACTATTTGTCCAATCACTAACCTCACCATGGGCCGCCGAGCTAAGTACCTCACATCGGAAGAAAAACTAGCAGCTGCTCGTCAACATACGGAATCCTATTTACAGTCAAAACGGTAGGTATCATTCAGTGACTTGTTATTGCAACGTTGTTGATATGTTTGGCAGAGGCAAAGATCATTCGACAGGCTCAGAATGCTCGTGGCCTACGCCAACGTCATGGTCCGACGCGGACTCATACAACTCCTAGGGCCCTGCCCAACCCTTTCTACCGTCTTCAATCTCACAGTTTGCCAATCCTCCTCTTCCCAAATCATTTCTCTTTTCACCAATCGCCCATGGTTCTGACTTGATCGATGTTTCGGATCTCTCCCAGTGGGATAAAGCCCCCGCCTTACATTCTCTGCCTCCACCCGACCTCACCCGAAGAACAGCGTTTTTACACAGAATCTCTTTGACGTGATGCACGGACATAATTTGCGTGTGGATAGGGAATCTCGCGCTCATCGTCAAGCTGTGTATGATGCAGGAGGGGCGTCTGAAGTTTTGGAGGAGCTTCGAGACGCACAGAAGAGGTTGCTTGCAGGCCTGGGATGACCTGAATGCTCGTATCGCTAACAACCTACAGGTATGTGGAAGACACAAGCTTATGGCTGAGTGCTACCGCCATGGTGTCGCGCGGGAGGATCTTAACTTACCAGAGGGAGGTTGATTTGCTAGTTACTGGGCAGAATCCATATTGTCTTAGTCCATAATACCTGTTATTGTATATCTACTACCCTCCTACTTCGAATCATGCCTGTAAACTGGTAATGCAAGAACCATAGTCCGCAGATAGTATCGTAGATCGTCCATGTCCTGCTCTCGTACTCCTGAATATGTTTGCCGCGTACAATAGCAAAAATGTCGCCAAAACCCATACACCACAGTCGAAATCATTGTTCTGAAGACGTTGGACCTAAAACAACACGAAGTGGTCGGCAAAGTTGTGAAAAATGGAGGATGAAACTCACGTTCAAAGGTCGAGCAACCCAGCCTTCAAGGTCAATATAACACGATATTCGTGTTGGCGCGCAAATAGCAAGGAACCGAACAATTAATCTCATTATATCCTTTCATTAAGATCCGATCAGTCAAACGCAAACGCCATGATTTAAATTGAACCCACTTCGACGTCCCTTTTGCCAAGGCTGCCTGTCACCTAGGCTATCAAAAAGATGAAGTTCTTTTGTGGACAGCCGGATGACCACATAGCACCCAGTGCCCACTGCCCGACGGACGATGAATAGGAAGTACCCATATATCCTTTTCCCATAACGAACCCATGATGTATTGCGCCAATGACATGTCTGGCGCATTGTAACGAATACGGGGAAGATCGTGGGGTTGAGAGGATGGCGCATTGTGCACCCGATGTCCTGAGTTGAGAGTGCCAGAGAAGTATGGCACAACTGTTGATGCATACATCATTCAGGCGTGCTGTAGGAGAACTAAGGAAACCGATGTCCCTAGGGTCAAATATCTGATACGGGATTCCATCCGAGCTAGGTTGTACTCGGGAGACAATTTTGCCTGATATGAGAATGCCGCGCTCACGCAATGGAACATTAAAATCATCCGCAAGAAGATTCTAGTATGATACATCAGTGCCGTATTCCTGACAGTAAATGTCAACCCACCTCAGGAAGTTCCCAATGAATGACGGCAGTAGCTTCGCGCACATGATCAGTTGAGTCATCATCATCATCATCCCACTCTACCGTGCCTATCTGACCCTCCAGAACGTCAGCAAGCGCTGTTTGTTCAGAATCAATGGGAGGAGGATGGTCAGGATCAGCAATGGAAATTCATCCCCCACCCTCGAGATCTGGCACTGCAGGTATGCCAGCATTGATGGCAAGAAGTGTCGTGCTGCGCGAGGTTCCCGAGAGGGTGGTAGCTACCTCCAGTGCATTGTTGACTAGGCTAGCGAAGCATGCCGGAGAAGCTAAGGAATTGGACCATCGAGATTGAAGTCGGACAAAATTAGCATGCCGTTGCTGTAATGGGACAGCAAACGGTTCATCTAAGTTAGATTACACATCAGCAAAAAGTTGCTAGAAGAATAGAATCCACTCCCTTTCTGGCAACCGAAGAGCGAGTTCGAGCGCTGCCAGCTCATCACCAAAGAAACGACAAAGATTATCAGCCTCAATGCTGAGGCGGATATGTTCTTCTTCACATCGATCCCGTTTGAGGAGTGCACGTATACGTCCCTGATGCGTGAGTCCTCCAACCATCGGGGAACTTCTCCTACCGATGGTGTAATCCATACATCTTCCATTAATTTAGGTCGTTGCGTAGTTCCGTAAGTTTCGTTGGAAGAGGGGAAGGCAGGGGAATCCCCCAACTCGGTTCGTAAAGGGAAGCTAACCGTTCACAGTAGGAGTTGAATTTTCGAATAGCGGTCATGAGGGCAGGTTGGCGCTTTGCTATAGCTTTGCGCGTATGCTGATGGAGCTTAGTGCCTGTAGGTAATTAACAAAGTATACCACTGTAATTAACAATGGGGTTCGAACTCACCTAGAGCTTGTTGGGCGCCTCCAACGGCGCGGTCAAGTTTGTCCCACTCGAAGAAGCTTGCAACGGCACGTTTGCGAACATTAATTTTGAGGTCCCGCGCCATTAAAAGGGTACGAACAAAATCAAGATTGACCCCTTGAAGTTCAGGGAACCGATCATTGAACGTTTAGAGATGAGTAAAGAGCCTCAACTTTGTCCATTAGCCGACTATGTCCCCTCTCCAGGCTCAGCAGAGCTTCGAATGTATCGTCAGAGGCCGATTCTTTTTCTAGCATTACTCTGGTAGTCTGTAGTGCTCTGTCCGATGCATCGAGATCTGCCTGGAGGGCCAACACGGTGTCCAGCTCTTTCTTGAGGCGAGATGGAGCGTCTTGGAGGACCGTTTATCAATACTAATGCACTATAATAAAATGAACTCACGAGCACGTATGGATAACTGTGAATGCCGTTGGTGGGACCACTGAGACCGTAACTCGTCGATAGGGATTTCGCATCGGTCTAGTACATCTTGTGCTGCAGACCCTTGTTCTTTGATGCCACGTCTAAGGCGACGTTTGATCCAATCACCGAGATCAGCGCGCATTTTGGACCCTATGGCTGCGGCTTGCCGATCAATCAGCCAGAGGCGACGTTGACGCTAAAGAAGGTTTTCGCGTGAATAGGGTTATAATGAAATTGAGGCGGGACGCACGGAAGAGGTCCTCTCAATACCAATCAGGCGAACAAAGCGCGACCAAAGACGCTCGGTCCCTTCCCCGTCGGACAGGCCAAGCCCAACGCACATTCGTGGGTTATAAATGAGCTGACATGCCCACTCATGGCCGTAGGCATGCATTGCAGTCGTCGCAAAACGAAGTCGTGTGGTGATACTTTCAGGAAGGATATCATACTGGAGAGGTGTGAGCGAGCAATCTAAACGTTAGTGATAGCATACTTTTGCGAGGGATCGCGCCAGAACACATCCAACGTCATATAAAGCAACAACTGTTGCCTGGTGCGGGAGTAATGAAAACAAGTGTTGGAGGAGGGCTACAGAGTATTTCTGTTGTTCTCCAGGAGAATCGATGTTAGCGAAAAACAACGGGATATCATGGCGACAAATTAATGCCATAATACCTGTGTCATCGAAGTTATCCATCGCGGTCTTCTGCTTCTTGCCGTCAGCAGCCTCATAAGAAGTTTCACATTGGTCCACAGCCTCGTCAGGGATGAGGGAAGCATAAGTTCTTGGAGGATGCTTATGTAGGGCGTCTATCCGGCGGCCGATACCATCAACGAAGGTTTTTGGGATAAAGTATGTAGGGTCATAGAAGGGTGGACAATCGCCAGCTGCGCGTCGGTGGCGGTGATGGAAATTCCCATCCGTTGCAACATGAATATCGCCTCCATCGTCTGGGGATCTACCATAAAGTATGCCCCCGAAACAAGCAGGGCATCTTTGAACCAGAAGGGGCGCGCATCGACCTGGATGTAGGGTAGGAGAATGAATTTCAGGGACGTCAGATGTTGCTTGCAAGGTCATGATGCGGTCCCGGCTTTGTTGGAGAAGGGTCTCGAGTTGTTGTTCGACTTGGACTTGCAGTATGTCAAACCACTGGACAGCATAGCCGAGACCTCTGCGAAACGGGTCCTGGATAAGTCCGCCCTTCCAAAGCATGTTAGTAGTAATTTAAATACACAATTGAAACTTACTTGTGCGTCTGTCATCTGAAATCCCCGTCGAGAATAATGAGTCTTTAATGCTGATGCGAGAGCATTAATTGCATCACATGAACGCTCAAACAATGTGCGATAGAATGAAAGTAGATCCACAGACACAGCCATCCGAGGCTGTGATGGAGCGGTTGGGAATAGACCATGGTGGACCAGAACCTGCGGGAGACTGGAGCACGCGCAACTTAGTACATCTATAGATTCAAATCCTACACAAATGTCAACGCACACCTCCGAGTCTTTGTTGCATAATGATAGGCTTACGATCGAAGAATAAACAAACCAATGTGGTCTGTTTGGGTGAGCACGACGTTGTCTCACATGCAGATATGACTGGGCGGATGATCTCTAGAGTTTTGCCCTGGGTTCGTCCGAAATAGCGAAGTAAATGGTTGACGAGGGTTGGCACAAGTGCCGTCCAGGAATAATACAGTGAGTTGGTTGATTTATCTGGCAAAATCCGTCGTTTGACTGGCGTGTCAATTGCCGGGGTGTCAAGACTTGGAGGTTCTAACATTCCGACGTCCTCGGAGTGAAGTGGGTGGGCATCATCAACGTTTATGTGTTGGGCGGTATCATTGCAGTCCCCAGCGTGAGCAAGGTCAGCAGAAAGTACTTGTGGGTCTGATTTTTCACCTCGCGGCTTCATAAGTTGCTGCATTTCAGCTAGAAGTCGGCGACGCTTCGCCTCCGCACCCGGTATCTTGATCAATGTTTGTGTTTTCCGTTTGTCTCGAGCTTTCCTCGGGCTCACAAAGTGGTGGCCTAGCCCTGAAGATGTGAGCTGAGATTTGCGAGTGGGATGAGGTGTGGAGGACGACATTGTGGAGATAAGAGAAGGACATACCAGTATGAAGAAGTATCAACAAGGCTCCAACGCTAAGTTTGTGGGAAAGCACGTGAGGGATGCGCTGGAGGTATGGGTCATATTTCTAGAGGTCTGCGAGAGGTGTCGTGAGAGGGTTTTTAGGTATTTTAGAGGCGCGAAGGGGTTCTGGGAGGGTGGAGCTAGAGGGACGCGAGGGAAGCGAGGTGGGCTAGGAGTAAGTGTTATTAATAGATGGGGGGAGGGTGGGTCTCAGAGACCACTTTCCCATAACATAGAAACCGGGTCTCTTGGACCCTTTATAGGCACCGAGAACTGATGCCTGAGGTGTCGAACACCGTGCTGCTCACCCCAATCGTATACGACCACGACACCGGCGGCAACTGCGAAACCGCAATTCAATGTTAGATCGAGACATCACTGATTGATGTGACGAACCCGCCCAATAGCTGAAAGAGATATTCCAAGTGATGAACGGCCACCAACTGGGATCAGTGGAGACTATGGTCATATTCGAGAGATGGGTGTGAGCGAGTGGGGGATGTTGGGTATTATATAGTAGATGTACCACCATTCAGCGCTCAGTGCTTGTATCTCCAAAATCTGCATGATGGTGATGAAGATATACTAGTAGATCCAGTTTCACACACGCGAATGCAACATGTGCATGAGGAACGTTCTGGAACGTTCCTCTCGACTCATTTCCAACACATCTCCGGGGCATTCTTGTAGACTCATGACCAGTCCTAGTCTATGAGGCAAAATTGACGGCTTGCCTCATTATGAGAACTGGTCACGAGCCTAGTATTCTTGTTGCACTAGTGGTTCTGCATGAAATTATGTAGTCATAGATCTATAATGCGTGTTGCTCATCTCCGATTCAAATCCACATGCAAGTATCCCACATATACCTTCCGTTAGCCAACATGCTGACATAGCTCTATCCTACAACTCAATTTCCGATCTGATAGTGATCTGCACCTTCCATCATGGTTCCCTATTAAGAACGTCTTTTGCAACGTCGACAGCAACGCCGCCCGCGCCCTCCTGAATATTAACTCACTACCGTCGCCATCGCCATCGGACTCGGACCCACTCTCTTCAATTTTGCACACAATTACTCCCTTCTCAAAACGAGCTTACTTGAGACCATGGTCCTATAGTGTCGTCTTCACTGCTACACTTTTCGTTCATCGTTCACGCGTGCCTTTTCTTGTAGCGACAGTGTCTAGGTTTTCCTGATCAGCACAAGGTAATCATCTTTTATGAACCTTCCTCTCGGATATGTTCTGACTCCCCGCGAACTAGCACTTCGCACTCCATTCATACGGACAGCCAAGATGGGTTTCACCAGGAAGCAGACTCGTTGCCTTATCAGCCATCTCGCCTTCTACTCACTAGCGTCACAAATCAATCCAATGCTATTCCTCTCTACTAGTTCCTCGTACCCCATCCGTTATTCCCATCCTCATCACGCTCGCACCTTGCTCGCACCCACTCTCTGCACGTTTGCACGTGATTACTTCCTGTGCAAATGAGTCTGATGGGTAATATAGTGATGACCGGTCGACCAGGAAGCGGACTCATTCAAGTTGCCTTAGGCTTTCACTTGCCAGCTTGAAATTCACGAATCATTGCCACCTCACAAAACCTTCGTATCACGTTCCACATGTTCGGCCCAGATGAATGATTGCACATGTTTTTTGTGGTCAGACAACTGGTGTCTTAGTGATACTGTGTCAAGTGCGCTTTACTCCCCACTCAGCACATCACATATCCTTGCCATGCGCATCCATGATAGATGGAAATACTCGAGCCGTAAGTTTTTGAAAACCATCATACACCATATCGTTAAATCATGCTTCAGCACAGACGATTGTGGACGACGACATGACTATCTGACAGTGGTCAGCAATGGGTTGGTTCAATCAGATGATTGACCTCCAATCAGTTCACTAGTGGTCTCCAGGACGTCGACACCCTGCTTCTAGCATTCGCACACGATTTGGCACTCCTTTCCTGCGGCCCAGATGATGATGGTGGACAGGCATTCTCGCCGATTTGACACATTCAGCCATCTGGGGTTTCACGACTTCCTCTCGTTTCTTCTTTCGCTTTACATGATAGAGCTGATCAAAGTACGGATGTCAGAATATCATGGTTGGCGCCTTACTAATACTTTTCTAGTTGTGCTTGACGCCTTCCAACTTGAAGCCCCAGTTCTCTTCTTTGCTCCCCACTCAGCACTTCTATCTCCTTACCTCGCGCATTCATTTGTGACAAGACAGAGGCACATACTCACCTCGTAAGTCTCTGTTTTAAACTGTCATGCTCGATGTGGCTGAATTATGCTCGAACAGACATCGATCAGCGATATTAGCAGGAGGGGCTCCAGTATATCATTGCAAGGACACAAACCCGATGCACAATTTGCAGTCGCATGGGCGGAACACTAAGACTGCACGGGTCCGATCAACATATGTATGAATGCAATTTCAGTTGATGTCTCATTAATAGTTAGCTCCGATCCTCAAATTCTCTACTCCCCATTCTGCACATCACATCTCCTTGCCATGCTCATTTGCGATATAGACATACAGGCGAACCACGAGTCCGTGCGGTTCATTCCTTTTTCTTCTTCATGGCCCAGGTGGATGAAGACGCCTCTGAGCATCAATGAGTTGCAGTCATCTGGGCTTCATGCTTCACGCTCACTACTTCTTCATCTGTGTGCTCAGACAGTGGAACTCCGCAAACACGTAGAATCAGCCGTCCGGGCATCAAGGACTGGGTGGGTTGCTAGATGTTACTGGATAATTCAGCTTGTCACTTGGTGTAAGTGTGGACGGGCGGTTCACTGACTTCCTGTAGTGATACAACAAGAAATGAGTTTGTCTACATAAGCCTCGTCTTAAATACACTTTGAAACAGCAACTAACTAAGATCCTTGACCAAATCTCTCCCTGCAGACACACTCGGCAAGCATTTCCCTACACAGTACTGCTAGTTGGTACATGTAGGCGCTCCTGGAAGACAATCGAATTCATGCTAGATTTCTGCGTCGGAGTTGGCCACGATTTTTTGCATGATATTCTCGAACGCTAAGGATGAGGCGGGGTCCCAGCACAAACAACTGCACGCCAAATAAAATATCAAAAGTGCCTTCGAGTATCTCAACTCCCATAGAATATGGATTCTACAGAAATAATGAGCAGTGGTTACAAGCAGATGTCAACGACAGGTCGGCGCACCTCAAGCTCTGGAGAGAAACTACGAATTAACTGGAGGCAAGAGACGCAAAAAAAGCTAGCACATGTGGAACTTGAGCTGAAAAAGACGAATACATTTACATTACAAGCTCACCTTGCAAAATAAAGCACGTGAGATTTTATCAGGCACTCTGAAACAGTCCCCTATGGACGATCCTGTCGATGGGCCGAGTTGTCGCAGGTCACGGAAATGTTTCATAGCAATCCAGAGTGAAAGACACAGTGCAAGGACCTCCCAAACAGTGTTGAGCGTCCAAATGATTGCCAACATCAGAAGCGGGACATCCCCGTCGTATTCAGAGCCGCACATATACGTCCCAGAGAGTATCAGCTCCCCTGGTGGTTGTCCAATGAGCGGTGTTTTTCAAGTCAACAAGTAAAGCTTACCCCCTACACTATCCTTGAGTCCTATTGCCGTGAGTACTCCGCAGGCGATGTTAACAGCCAGACAGATGACAACAAGGAAGATAAGCATCCTCCTAGATCTCTGATACATGGCATGCAAGCGAGCAATCATGATGACTTGCATCGTGTTTCAGTCGAGTCAATATGATTGAGGTATTGCAGCTCACCGCCCAGCATGGCAGTTATGACTGCATCTGTCACATTCCTTGCGTAGTACATATTATTACCTGAATCACTCAATTAGTGATCACCCTCGTAGTAGGACCAAACGTTGCGACTCACACCTATTGAGTCATTATGTCGAGCTAAGTTCAATGGTCAGAATCTCACTCACTCCTAGTATATATGAGTGTATTCATTGGATAGGAATGAGATGATTGCAGAATACTCACTGCATCTGTCAGCGAGACCAATGGTATATTTACTGTGTGTGGCCGGTCAGAAGAATCGAACACAGTGCATACGAGACATTGTCACATACGCAGAACGTTGTTACTGATAATGAGAGATGGGCTATTAGTAGAGTGCCAACTTGTTGGTCTCAAACACATACACAGAATATGGTATTCCAATATAGCGCATCTAGAACATTTTGAAGTCAGCACAACTTGCCAACCACGCTATAGCATAATATGAGGTACGAACAACCAAATACATGACAGTCATGAGAGACCAGCGTTGCCTCTGCCCCAAATTCATTGTATTGTGTTACTTTTCTTCTGATATGGGACTCTATCACTCACCCAGATCAATTCAATCTATGACACCGTTCTTAGCAAGTTGGCTACTCCGGCAATAGCACCGACGTACCTCTTGTCCAAGTGTTAGGACTGGAAATATGATGAGAATATCAGCGGTTTTTAAACACTGCTGCTCACCCCAATCGTATACCACCACAACGCCGGCGGCAACTGCAAAACCGCAAGTCAATGTTAGATCGAGACATCACCAACTGATACGACGAACTTATCCAATAGCTGAAAAAAATATTCGAACTAATTATCGGCCACCAACTGGGATCATTTGAGACTACGGTCATATTCGAGAGTTGGGTGAGAGCGAGTGTTAGTGCGATATGTTGGGGGCTACAATGATCTAGTGTTCGTGCTAGATATACCACCATTCAGCGCTTGTATCGCTAAAATGGGCATGATGGAGAAGGATATTTAATCCTGCTTCAAGACTCTTGATTAGTTGAAGTGAGTATTGCGGTGCGAAATGAGCAAAAAGTGAATGTCCTCAATTGAATCAAAGTTGATTTTGAATAGTAAACCGATATCACGCACGTGAATATCAGGAACCAACACCGATCTTCGGGGTGACATTATTGGTGATGAGTCCATCTGAAGTCTGAAGATCCTTGATCGATGATCGGTCGAAGTAATAAAATGTGAATCTATTACATGACGTAATTACATGTGCGTTCTCTCGGCCTCGGCAGCCTCACCTGAGGCGTAATCGCTCCTCCAACTGCCAGGGTCCCATTCATGCCTTAATCATTTGTATATTATGCTGTTCTACCACCCGTTTATTTCAAGTACTGGAGCTGCCTGAATATACTTGGAAATCCGTACGTACTAGTCAGACCACAAGAGAAGGAAGACAGTCGTTCCTTCTTAGTGATCCGCACCTGGGTCCTTGTGTATGCAATATTAATGTTAACAGCAACGCTGCCCGCGCCCTCTGATCATTTCAACTTACCTACCATCGCCATCATCGCCATCGCCATCACACACACTCTCTGCCCGTTTGCACGTAATTACTTCCTGTGCAAATCGAGTCTACTTGCAATTGGGACAAAGAGCCCATTAGTGTCATCTTCGAACTGCCACATTTTGCGTTCATCGCTGTCACAAGACTAGTCGTATCTAGGTGATCTCATCAACACCGTGACAACGTGAAGGTATTACAGCATTTTCCATGAACTTTCCTCTAGGATATACTCTTACTCCTCGCGACCCAGCACCTCGCACTGCATTCATACGGACAACCCAGATGGGTAATCCAGTGATGACCGGTTGACCAGGAAGTGGACCCATTCAAGTTGCCTTATGGCTTTCACTCGCCGGTTTCACGAATCATTGCCATCAATTCAGTGCTACTCCTTCTTTCCAGTTCTTCGTACCCCATCCGCTACTTCCCTCACACTTGATTCGTTTTCACAATCATGATTTCCACATTCGCCCGCGTCAAGTTCAGATGTCACAGTGGTTGTGTCTCCTTCTCCTCCTTTCTTCGTTATGCTCTGATAGATGATAATTCTCGAATGGATTTGATGACTGTGAAATCCTTGGGGCTATCAGCCGTCTGAGCTTAGACACACTGCTTTTACTTTCCTGCTTGACAGAACTTTCGTACCGCGTTCCACATGTTTGGTACAGATGGATGATTGCACAGTTTTTTGTCTTCAGACAACGGGTGCCTTAGTGTTACTTCGTCAAGTGCTCTTTAGTCCCCGCTCAGCACATCACATATCCTTGCCATGCGTATCCGTGATGGATGGAAGTACTCGAGCCGTAAGTTTTTTGAAAACCATCATACTACTCCGTATCGTTAAATCATGCTTCAGCAGACGATTGTGGACGACGACATGACTATCTGACAGTAGTCAGCAATGGCTTGGTTCAATCAGATGATCGGCCCCCAATCACTTCACTAGCGGTCTCCAGGATGTCGACACCCTACTTCTACCCTTCACACACAATTCGGCACTCCTTTCCTGCAGTACAGATAGAAGATGGTGGACAGGCGTTCTTGCCGATTTGACACTTTATCAACCATCTGGGTTTCACAGCTCCCTCTTGCGTCTTCTTTTGCTTTACACGATAGAGCCAGTGCGATCTGATTAAAGTAGGGATATCAGAATATCATGGTCGGCGCCTTACTGATACTTTTCTAGGTGCGCTTGACGCCTTCCGACTTGAAGCTCCAGTTCTCTTCTTTACTCCCCACTCAGCACTTCTATCTCCTCACAGCGTGCCTTCATTCGTGACAAGACAGAGGCATATACTCACCTCGTAAGTCTCTATCTTAAACCTCATGCTCGATATGGTTGAATCTTGCTTGAACAGACATCGTTCAGCGATATCGTGCCAGCAACACCCGCAACGAGAATGTACCTGGATATCCGATGAGCTGATACGACCACGATCACCATAATCCCTACTGAGGACATCGACAGCCGACTTTGACCTTCCATGCACGACTCATTACTGCTTCCTTGCTTATGGATGGTATGGGGTGGGCACGCGTCTGGCACGTTTTGCTCTTATCTACGACCCTTAGTCATTCATCAGAAAGGGCTCGAGCTACTGGCTACAACGACGTGTATTTGGCCATCTACGCTATGTACAACTCAGGCCTCAGGTATGAATATACCTCGATGGCTCAAGATAGACAATAAAACCGAACCGAAAGCAAAGAAACCGAATCAAATAATGCGGGACGCGCCAGTTACGTGATTTTGTATGTCCCTGTTCAATTGAGTGGGCTTCAAAGCTTACAACGACTTTCGTATCGATAGAACAGATTTCAGTCTTTTCTCCTTACTGCTTCTTCTTACTTGTGGAGCTGGATAGACAAAAGGGTCCAAATACCTTGGTCGCGCGTAATACCCTTGAATGGCAAGGGTGCTCTGCCTGGACAGTCTGCGATTTTAAAGGCGAGAATCTGACTATGCTGCAGAACCCTTGGGCTATCTATACCAGCTGTCTGAACTCAGACGCGCTATTTCTACTTTCTAGCCGCCTCGCTTTCCATTCCTTCGGTCCAGATGGTGAATATATGTATGTATCTCGATCGGTATTTTAATCTGACGGTCTTGCTTGACAGGATGGGCTTCAACAGATCATCGCAAGGACGCAAACCCGACGCACAATTTGCAGTCGCTTTGGCGAAACACTACGATGGCACGGCTCCGACCAATGTACGTATGGATGCAATTTCAGAATATCGTGGTCAATGTCTCATTAATAGTGAGCCCCGATTCTCTAATTTTCTACTCCCCGCTCAGCACACCTCATCTCTTTGCCATGCTCATTCATGATAGAGGCGTACAGTCGAACCACGAGTCCTGCGCGACTTCATTCCTGTTCCTTCACCGTGGCCCAGATGGATGGATACGCCCTCTGCAGCACCAATGAGTTACAGCCATCCGGGGTTCATGCCTCTCGGTCACGTTTTCATCATCTGTGTACTCAGACAGCAGAACTCTGCAAACACGGAGAATCAGCTGTCTGGGCATCAAAGACTGGGTTGGTTGCTAGACGTTCTTGCGGATAATTTGAGCTTGCCACTTGGTGCAAGTGTGGACGGGCGGTTCACTGACTTCCAGTAGTGATACAACAAGAAATGAGTTTGTCTACATAAGCCTCGTCTTAAGTACACTTTGAAACAGCATAACTTAAATAAATAGCAGGACAGATCCTTGACCACACTTCTCCCTGCAGAACACTCGGCAAGCATTTCCCTACACAGTACCGCTAGTTGATATTTGTACATGCTCCTGGAAGACAATCGAATTTATGCTAGTTTCTGCGTCGGAGTTGGCCACGAGCTTAGCGTGATACTCCCGAACACTAAGGATGAGGCGTGGTCCCAGCACATACAACTGCACGCTTAATAAAATTTCAAGAGCGCCATAGAATATTCCAACTCCCATAGAATATGAATTCTACAGAGATGATGAGCAGTGGTTACGAGCAGATGTCGGCAACAGGTCGGCGCACCTCAAGCTCTGGAGAGATATTACCAACTAACTGGAGGCAAGAGACGCAAGAAAAGCTAGCACATGTGGAACTTGAGCAGAAAAAAATGGCCATATTTACATTACAAGCTCACCTTGCAAAATAAAGCACGTGAGATTTTATCAGCACTCTGAAACAGTCCCCTATGGACGATCCTGTCGATGGGCCGAGTTGTCGCAGGTCACGGAAATGTTTCATAGTAATCCAGAGTGAAAGACACAGTGCAAGGACCTCCCAAATAGTGTTGAGCATCCAATACATTGAAGACAGAAGCGGGATATCCCCCCCATATTCAAAGCCGCACGTATACGTTCCAGAGAGTATCAGCTCCTCTGGTGGTTGTCCAGTGAGCGGTGTTTTTCAAGTCAACAAGTAAAGCTTACCCCCTACACTATCCTTGAGTCCTATTGCCGTGAGTACTCCGCAGGCGATGTTAACAACCAGACAGATGACGACAAGAAAGAGAAGCATCCTCCTAGATCTCTGATACATGGCATGCAACCGAGCAATCATGATGACTTGCGTCGTGTTTCAGTCGAGTCAATATCACTGAGGTATGCAGCTCACCGCCCAGCATGGCACTTACAACTACATTTGTCCCACTTATTATGTAGTACGCAATATTACCTGAAACATCCAATTAGTGATCACTCTCGTACTAGTATTAAACGCCCCAACTCACACCTATCGAGTCGTTATGTTGAGCGTAGTTCAATGTTCAGAATCTCACTCACCCCTACGTGCGAGTGTATTCATTGGATAGGAATGAGATGATTGCGGAATACTCACTCCATCTGTCAGCGAGACCAATGGCATATTTGCTGTGTGCCGCGGGTCAGAATAATCGAACACAGTGCATATGAGACATACGCAGAACGCTGATACTGATAACGAGAGATGGGCTATTAGTACAGTGCCAACTTGTTGGCCTCAAACACATACACAGAATATGGTATTCCAATATAGCGTATCTAGAACATTTTGAAGTCAGCACAACTTGCCAACCACGCTATAGCATAATATGAGTTACGAACAAGTAAATACATGACAGTCATGAGAGACCAGCGTTGCCTCTGTCGCGAATTCATTGTATTCGCCTATTTTTCTTCTGACTCGGATATGGGAATCTGTCACTCACCCAGATCAGTTCAATCTATGACACCATTCTTAGTAGGTTGGCTACTCCAGCAATAGCACCGACATACCTCTTGTCCGAGTGTTAGGACTGGAAATATGATGAGAATATCAGCGGTTTTCGAACACTGTGCTGCTCACCCCAATCGTATACCACCACGACACCGGCGGCAACTGCGAAACCGTAATTCAATGTTAGATCGAGACATCACCGATTGATGTGACGAACCCATCCAATAGCTAAAAGAAATAGCCGAATTGATCAACGGCCACCAACTGGGATCGGTGGAGACTACGGTCATATTCGAGAGATGGGTGTGAGCGAGTGGGGGATGTTGGGTATTGTCACAACATAGTGCTCGTATTAATAGTAGATGTACCACCGTCCAGTGCTTGTATGACCAAGATCGGCATAATGGTGATGAAGATATAGATCCTTGATTGGTGGAAGTAGGTTTGCAAACCAGTTTCACACACGCGAATGCATGTCATAGGAACGTTCTGGAACGTTCTGCTCGTTGCGAGTGATGTCAGCAACTCGGGGTATTCTTGTTGCACTGTCTGCATGAAATGGCTCAAATCGAACAAGGACTCTTGCCTCTTATTCAACCCATTCCTAATTAAAAGACGAATTCACGCCATAGATACAATCACTCCCTGTTCCACAAGCTATGGTCCAGAACGTTAGCTATAACGGGTACCCGGTCTTAATATCAAAGTCACGATGCTGGCACTCATCCAAATTAGGCTAATAATCCTCTCTTTTACACCGACTCGGCCTGCATCGAATTCAAATCCACATGCAAGTATTCCACATATACGTTCCGTTAGCCAGCATGCTGATATAGCTCTATCACACAACTCAATTTCCGATCTGATAGTGAGCTGCACCTTCCATCATGGGTCTCTATTAAGAACCTCTTTTGCAACGTCAACGGCAACGCCGCCCGCGCCCTCATGATCTCCTGAATATTAACTCACTACCGTCGCCATCGCCATCGGACTCGGACCCACTCGCTTCAATTTTGCACACAATTACTCCCTTCTCAAAACGAGCTTACTTGGGACGATGCTCCTATAGTGTGGTCTTCACTGCCACACTTTTTGTTCATCGTTCACACGTGCCTTTTCTTGTAGCGACAGTGTCTAAGCTTTACCTGATTAGCACAAGGTAAATATCTTCTATGAACATTCCTCTCGGATATGTTCTGACTCCCCGCGAACCGGCGCTTCACACTCCATTCATACGGACAGCCAAGATGGGTATCACCAGGAAGCAGACTCCTTACCTTATCAGCCATCTCCCCTTCCACTCACTGGCGTCACAAATTATAGCCATTAATCCAATGCTATTCCTCTCTACTAGTTCCCCGTATCCCATCCGTTATTCCCTCTCACTTCATTCATTTTCACAAACATAATTTCCTCATTGCCCGAGTCAAGTCTGGATGGCAGATGTCACGGTGGTGGTGTCCTGCGAACCAGAGCCATTTTGTTATCAACCACCTGGGCTTCTACTTATCATGGTCACTTCTCCTCATTCCTTCGTTTTGCTCAGATAGTTCTTGAATGGATTTGATGATTGTGAAATCCTTAGGGCTATCAGCCGCCTGAGCTCAGACACATTGGTTTTACTTTCCTGGTTCACCGAACTTTCGCATCGTGGTCCACATGTCTGGACATCCCTTTTTTGTGCTCAGACAACTGGTCCATTGACCATATTTTGTCAGGCACGCTTTACTCCTCGCTCAGCACCTCACATCTCCTTACTATCTGTGATAGAGATAAATACTCGAGCCGTAAGTTTTTTTGAATCCATCATACTCCATATCGTTGAATCATGCTTGAATACCGAGACGATTGACTGCACGACTATCTGGCAGTAGTCAGCGATCGGTTGGTTCAATCATATGATTGATGCCCAATCAGTAGACTAGTGGTCTCCAGGACATCGACACCCTGCTTCTACCTTCACACACGATTTGACACTCTATCTCCGCAGCCCAGATGGATAATGAAGATGGCCAGGTGTTCTCGCTGATTTGATGTATTATCAGCCATCTCGGGTTTCAGAAAATCCCTCTCGCTTCTTCTTTTGCTTTGCTCAGACACACGATAGAGCTAGTGCAATCTCATCAAAGTACGTATTTTAGAATATCGCGGTTGGCGCCTCGCTGATACTTTCCCAGGTGCGTTTGATGCCTTCCAACTTGAAACCACAATTTTCTTCTCTACTCCTCATTCAACGTTCCTATCTCCTTGCCACGCGCGTTTATTTATGACAAGACAGGCATATAGTCACCTCGTGAGTTTCTGTTTTAAATTGACATGCTCGATATCGTTGCATCATGCTTGGACAGACGTCAATCAGCGATGTCGCGCCAGTAGCACCCGCAACGAGAATGGACCTCGATATCCGATGACCGGATTTGACGCCCAATCACAATAATCCCTACCAATAGTTGCGGAGGACGACGACAGCCGACTTTCACCCTTCGAGCACGACTCAGATGATATGGAGGTAGGCATGCGTCTGGCCCGTTCTCGTTCAGTGCTTTACTCTGACGGTCGTGCTTGGCAGGATGGGCTCCAACAGATCTTGCAAGGACGCAAATCCGACACATAATTTGCAATCGTATGCACGCAACGCTATGATGGCACGACTCCGATAATGTAGGTATGAATCAAATTTCAGAATATCGTGGTTGATGCCTCATTAATAGTTTGACAGGTGTACAGATTGAGGCCTTCTGAATTGAAGCTCCCATTATCTAATTCTCTACTCCCCGCTCAGCACACCCCATCTTGCTATGCTCATTCGTGATGGAGGCACATAGGTGAGCTATGAGTCCTAGCCCAGATGGATGAAAATGCATCTCGGACTAACATGCCATCGGCTATCTGAGCTTCGTGCTTCGCGGACACCTTATCATCTCTGTGCTCAGACAGCTGAACTCCGGAAACACGTAGAATCAGCTGTCTGGGCAATTTATACTAATTCTCGTTATATTTCAGTATTTCGCATCAAGGACTGTGTTGGTTACTAGACGTACCGCCCAGCATGGCAGGTATGACTGCACTCGTCACAATTGATGTGTATTGAATAATAGTGCCTGAAACACCCAATTAGTGATCACCCTCGTACTAGTAGGATCAAACACTACTACTCACACCTATCGAGCCATTATGTTGAGCCACATTCAATTCACTCACCCCTACATATGAATGCATTCATTGGATGGGAATGAGATGGTTGTGGAATACTCACTACATCCGTTAACGGGACGAATGGTATATATGCTGTGCCGCGGGTCAGAATAATCGAACACAGCGCATATGAGACATACCCAGAACCCTGATACTGATAATGAGAGATGGGCTATTAGTACAGTGCCAACTTGTTGGTCTCAAACACATACACAGAATATGATATTCCAATATAACGTATCTAGAACATTTTGGAGTCAGCACAACTTGCCAACCACGCTATAGCATAATATGAGGTACGAACAACCAAATACATCACAGTCATGAGAGACCAACGTTGCATCTACCTCACATTCATTGTATTCTGTTACTTTCTTCCGATATGGGACTCTGTCACTTACCCAGATCAGTTCAATCTATGACACCGTTCTTAGCGAGTTGGTTGCTCCGGCAATAGCACCGACGTACCTCTTGTCCGAGTGTTAGGACTGGAAATACTATGAGAATATCAGCGGTTTTCGAACACTGTCCTGCTCACCCCAATTGTATACGACCACGACACTGGCAGCAACTGCGAAACCGCATGTCAATGTCAGGTCGAGACATTACCAACTGATACGACGAACCAATGAAATAGCTGAAAAAAATATTCCAACTGATTATCGGCCACAAATTGGGATCATTTGAGACTACGGTCATATTCGAGAAATGGGTGTGAACGAGTGGAGATGTTGGGGTTACTGTAGAGATACGCACTTAGCTTCGTCACAGAGTCACACGTCCAACGAATCGACACACCTGTGTGACACTATTAACATTGTTACTAACTAACTAGGGGGGAAGTCTATGCTGCGGTACTTCAGCGAGTTCCGCATCACTCGGCAGTGGGCATCGTGAAAATGCTGCGCCACTGCTGCTGCGGCAACTGCCGCGACCACTGCTGCGATGCTCCTAACTCTTAAATAGTGAGCGCGCATCAATTACACTTACTGCTACTAGTAACACATCGGAGGTTTGGACATTTTACCTCCTGCACAATTTCAATCAAAAGCAGACCTAGACCTGGCTAGAGCATTCTAGACCTAGCCTGGAACGCTCTGGAGCGCTCTAGATTGCATTTCGAATGTGATTTCACTAGTGGCAAGATGTGGTAAAATGTCGAAACCCCCGCTGTGTAATCACTGGAACCTCAATCCAAACGAACCATGGAGTCGAGCATGCGCCGACTCCTTATCATTATATTCACGCTCACAAAGTCATGGTCAGACATTATCATCACAAGTACTTCTGGTCTGCAACTCCTAACGAGGCATTCAAACGAGTATCGTCCGTGAAGGATGACTCGCCTGCTCGACGAAGGCGTTTGGCTATGAAAACAAGATAGTGAGCATACTGACACATAGGTTGACAATACTTACCTTTGTGTACCGTTTCTGTGGCGTCTCCACGGTCCAAATCTTCATCCTGATTTGAGAGACTTGAACTCCAGTCAGCGTCATCTTCATTTCGTTTGGCGTCGCGTGGGTTTGTCCTGGGAGTGGCGTTAGGTGGCTGTTCGGAACCGTTTCAAGTTGTTGGACCTGTTTGTGGCTAGTTAGCTCCGGTGTTGCACTTTTATTGGAATCATGAAGCCGAGAGGAAGGTATATTTGTTCGTTTGGAACGTGTCGTGACCGTGACGGCAGCCACTGCGTCATCGTCGGATATGATTGTGAGAGTCATTTGTTCAGCCGACCTTCCGAAAGACGCTGTAATTCTAAGTCAACTACTGTACAGTACATCCCGGAAATTTCCTTCCCTATACAGCAGAAGCCCGGGCCTGGGCCCTAGGCCATGGCCTATGAGATGCCTAGGCCAGGCCCAAGCCCTCATGAAGCAAACAGACTCCGCAAACACACAGAATCAGCTGCCTGGGCAATTTATACTAATTCTCGTTATATTTCAGTATCGGGCATCAAGTACTGGGTTGGTTACTAATCGTTACAGATAATTTCAGCTTGCCACTTGGTGCGATTGTGGGCGGGCAGTTCACTGACTGTCCGGTATTGATTCGACAAGAGAAGAGCGTCTACATAAATCTTGTCTTAACTACACTTTGAAACACCATAACTTGAATAAACACGACGGCGAATCCCCGACCAAAATATCCTCTTTGCAAGACACTCGTCAGGCATTTCCTTACACAATACTGCTAGTTGGTACATGTACACGCTCCTGGAAGACAATAAGATACATGCTAGTTTCTGCGTCTGAGTCGGCCATGAGCATGGCGTGATATTCTCGGACGCTAAGGATGAGGCGTGGTCCCAGTACGAACATCTGCACACCAAATAAAATTTGAAGAGCACCATAGAGTATCCCAGCTCCCAAAGAGTTTGAATTCTACAGAAATGATGAGCAGCGGTTACAAGCAGATGTCAGCGACAGGTCGGCGTACCGCGAGCTCTGGGGAGAGAATACTAAGGTCGAGGCAAGAGACACAAACAAAGCTAGCACGTGCAGAAGTTGAGCAGAAACAGATAGCCACATTCACATTACAAGCTCACCTTGCAAAATAAAGCACGTGGGATTTTATCAGCACTCTGAAACAATCCCCGATGGTTGATCCTCTTGATGGCCCGAGTTTTCGCAGGTCACGGAAGTGTTTCACAGCAATCCAGAGTGAAAGTAACAGTACGAGAACCTCCCAAGCAGTATTGAGCACCCAAACCATTGAGAACAGAAGTTCAGCATCCCCCTCATATTCAACACTGCACATATATGCGCCAGAGAGTATCCGCTCCT